TCGATGATTCTTGTCTGATTATTCTTTCTTACGATGAAGAAATCAATATAAAATTTCCATTTGACTTCAGTGTTGTTCACTTATTTATAATGCTATATCAATGTTTAATTACTCTAAATCCTTCTCTCCCTAGCCTTCCCAAGATTATATACTTTAGTCCTCCCCAAATCCAGGAGACCATGTATGATTACAGCCAAATTACATACAGTTGGCTGAGAAGGGTGGCTGGATACTCTGGTCAGGGTCCAATGATCCTGCTTGCCCCTCCTTTAATGAAGGAGCACAACTGACAACAAGCCCAATTGGGATGATGTTTAGCAATCAGGCACTGCTGAAATCATGATGATGGTTGTTATTTCATGCAGAGGAGACTGCTGTACAGTATCATCTTATTAAAAGGACATGGAATTTAAAAGGATTTGGTGCTAGAAGCCACGTATGACGGAGAACATATGTCATTTGTTTTTCTGAGTCTGTGGTACTTCACTTAGTATAACAGTTTCTAGATCCATACATTTGCCTGCAAATTTCATTATTTCATCTTTCTTTACTGCTGAATAGAACTCCATTGTGTAAATATACCACATTTTTTTAACCACTCGTCAGTTGAGGAACACTTAAGTTGCTTCCATCTCTTAGATATTGTGAAATGAGCAGCAACAAACATGGTTGTACAAGTGTCTCTGCAATAGGATGAGTCCTTTGGGTATATGCCAAGGAGTGGTATAACTGGTCATATGGTAGGTTTATTTTTAGTTTTTTAAGAGTTCTCTACACTGTTTTCCACAGAGGCTGCATGAGTTTTCAATCCCACCAACAGTGAATGAGCGTGCCCCTTTCTCCACATCCTTGCCAGCATTTGGTATCATTTGTTCTCTTGATCCTAGCAAGTCTGGTTGGGGTAAGGTGATACCTTAGGATGGTTTTAATTTGCATTTCCCTAATTACTAATGATGTTGAACACTTTTTGAGATGTTTCTTAGCCATCATTATTTCTTCCTTTGAGAACTCTCTGTTCAGATCTTTAACCCATCTTTTAATTGGGTTTTTTGCTTCTTTGTTTTTTGAGTTCTTTATATATTCTGGATGTTAAACCTCTGTCAGATGTGTCACTGGGAAGATTTTTTTCCCATTCTGTGTTTTCTCTTCACTTTTTTACTTGTTTCTTTTGCTGTACAGAAGCTTTTTAGTTTAATGAGGTCCCACTTGTTGATTGCTGACCTTAATTCCTGAGCAACTTCTGTCCAATTTAGAAAACCCTTTCCCATACCTACATCTTTTAAGTTACTGCCAATATTTTATTCTAATAGCTTCAGGGTTTCCAGTTTCACATTGAGGTCTTTGATCCATTTGGAGTGACTTTTGTGCAAGGTGAAAGATAAGGATCTAGTTTCATTCTTCTACAGGTGGAGATTCAGTTTTGGCAGCACCATTTGTTGAAGATGCTGTCTTTCCTCCATCATGTGTTCTTGGCACCTTTGTCAAATATCAGGTGGCTGAAATTGCATGTACTCCAGTTTGGATCTTCAATGATGTTCCATTGCTCTGTGTGTCTATTTTTGTGCTAGTACCATGCTGTTTTAATGACTGTAGCTCTGTAGTATACTTTGAGATCTGGTATAGTAATCCCCCCAGTACTGCTCTTTGTAGTCTTAGTTGCTTTTGGCCACACTTTTTAACCATACATTTTTGTGTGCCTGATGGGCAGTGATTTCAGATTGTTTTTAAGTATTTATTTTTATTTTATGTGTATGAATGTTTTGCCTACATTTATGTAAATTTACCCGTGTTGTATAAGGCTCACAAAGACCAGAAGATATCGTATTCCCTGGAGGTGGAGTTATGGACGACTGTTAACTACCATGTAGGCAGCTGGGAACTGAACCTTGGTCCTCCACAAGAGCAACCAGCGTCCTTAACTACTAAGCCATCACATCACTCCCACCCCTCAAATGTTATTTTTCAGTAAAATAGATGTTACACATATCAGAATTTTCACACATTTTGTAATATTTATCATTAAACATGTTAAGTATTGTGATAATTGGTAACCTATGGGCTACTTTTAATCAGAGTTCTTTAATTCAGCATACCAATTCAAAAGTGTTTTTCTTGATATACAT